TTCATCTATTTTATCTTCTTCTGGTTCTAAATTTTTCAGGATACTTGGAAGACTCTTTATGTTGTGGATTAGGACTACTAACGTTCTTCCAAGCTTTTCTTGAATGAAGTTTATAGTCCTTGGTTTTAGTCCTAGGTCCATGATCCACCTTGAGTTGGTTTTTGTATATTTCCTCCTACTGTTTGCTTTCAGATCTCACCCTCTCCGCATCTATATTCTGTTGACTTTGTGAATTTTGCTTAAGATGTTTAGTATTAGATATATCTACTCTCACGCTTTCTATAGCCTCTGAAAACCTGCTAGACGGTCAACTTAAGGGTTGACTTCACCTGGACAGCAATAAGTTTTGTTTATTCATTCACTAAATATCTTTGGAACATCTGTTGTTTGTATAACTCTATGAATAAAACCACAGAGACTGACCTGAGGAGTAAATGCAATATTTTATGGTAATTGAAATGTGATCAGAATGCCACAGGAGGGATCTTGCAATTGGTAATTGATGTGGGCCCTCACCATGAATAAGGTTTTGACCAAGAAAGGAAGGTTGTCATAAGCGGTCACACCCACATGTGAAAATGCAATTTATAAAGACTAACTCATTGTGGTAGTGGTGGTAGAATAGTTTGAGAATGGAGAAAGAGAAATAAGTGGCTGCACAACTTGAACAATGTAATCAATGTCATTGAGTTACACATGTAGAACTTGTTGAATTGTATATTTTACTGGGCATGTTGTTGCCACAGTTTAAAAAAACAACAGTTTTGCAGAATGATGGAACAAAATGGGAGTTCTGGATCTTACACAGCTTGGTAAAGCTTGATTGTGAACAATTGGAACATTATGTCATTTTGAACTTGATCAGATAAAGGGAAACATTAAATACATTTAATTAGAAGATTGTCATGACTTTATTCTTCTGGTGCTTTAAGATAGCACTTATTAAACTTTGCTGTAAATGTTCTGGTGGGTTTTTTGTTTTTTAATATTACATGATGTTTTCATTGGCCTTTTTGATAAATAAAATAAAAAGTGCCCACTAGAGGGTGCTTTCACCTGCAACCATGCATACAGAATTTATCTGCTAAACTGTTTTTATTTGTACACTGGTAATTTGTTTAAAGTCTTGAAACCCGTAATTCTTCAGTTCCTTTATGCCACAGAAAGAGACAAGTCATGCAGAACTTTCATTACCCAATATTGTAATTGCACTGTTCATAATCTACCACAAGCATTTTACTTAAGGCAGTCAGTATCTACTGAAAACAAGTAGAAAAAAAATCTGTTTAATTGGGAACATGTTAAGGATGAAATAGACTTCATTAAGAACCATAACAGAAGTAATTAGATTGATTACTGAATAGTTGGCTCTGTGACTCATATTATTAAGCCTTTTAGCAGCATTATGTAATATTTCATTGAACATTTCTAATGCAGTAAAATAACAAAGGTTTGCAAATAACATAATGAGAAGAAATTAAACTGTTAACCCTATTTTTCCTTTGTCTTTCAGATCAAATGGGGAGCATGTGGCCTTGTGCTGGCAGGAAATGCAGTCCTATTCCTTACAATTCAAGGCTTTTTCCTTGTATTTGGAAGAGGAGATGATTTTAGCTGGGAGCAGTGGTAGCACTTTTTTCTGATACAATGCATTGAATTTCTTAGAATTCACACTATATGTCTGTGTATACACATGTGACATTTTACTATGGACTTTAATATGCTGGTGTTGTATTTTGTGTTGTTTTTTGATACCTTTATATCATGTTTACTTTCAAGAGGCCTAAATGGATAAAAGCTTTATTCCCACATAATAAACCCAGAGCTGTCAAGTCAGCTCGGACTCCTGATGACCCTATAGGACAGAATAAAACTTCTGTATAGGTTTCCAAGACTGTAATCTTTATAAAAGCAAACTGCTGCTGCTTTTTCCTTGGAGTGACTCATAGATTCAGATTGCTAACATTTTAATTAGCAGCTAAGCATTTAACCAGTGTGCTACTTCCAGCAAATAGACCTCACTTCTTTGAGTTGAATTATGTGACCATATTTTTGCTGGTAACTTATCTAGGTAAATAACATGCCCATATGTGTATCATGGTGACATCATGCACTAATGAAAGCAGTACAAGTAGGGTTGCACAATGGAGGGGGGAGTATGGTGTATTCTATTTGCACGAAAGTATGTTGTTTGGTTGTTCAGATGGTTATGGTGCTCTCAGAAAAGATATTAACCCATCTGAGCTCTGATGGCTCCTAAACCATACACCAGGCCTCTCTGGCAGTTCAGGTCAACCAGCTGATTCCATTCAACCAAGCTTCTCGGTGGGAAAGAGGTGGAAAATCTCCCATGCAATATACAGCCTCCAAAACCTCACTGGAGGATCAGCTTTGAATCAGATCCTACAACAAGGGAATGATTTTGACTTTTTCAACTTGCACACTGAAGGAGTAGGTCTACCCCTTTTGTCTGAATCTGTGCTTCAGCTGGTAGATCACTAAAGTTCTAAAGTTCAAGTAAGCACTTCCAAGATATGCTTATGGCCCAGATAGACAGAGTGACCCCATCTGTTCTAGGTTCTTCTCAAAAGTGCAGACAGAGTTATTTGCAGTTCCTAGGAACTTATTGGAAATGCAGACTCTCAGGCCCCACCTCAGACTAGTGTTGATAGGATCCCAGGTGAATCCTATGCACATCAAGAACCTCTTTCACAGAAAATGAGACCTTGAGTGGCCACTAAACCAAAAGTTGGCAGTTCAAATCCTGCAACTGCAATGCAGTTAGAGAGATGCCTAGTGATTTACTTCAGTTGGAGCCATTGAAAAATCTGACGCACATTTCTACTACTCTCCCACACATGTAAAATTAACTCAGATGCAGCTAAATTGGAATTTTGCTATCAAAATTCATTCACTTTAGTATTTGCCAGATAGTAGAACATAATGTTTAATCTGTTCCTCAGATTTGTGAATAGGGTTCAAAGGCAGAAACAGTGAAGCTCTCTGAAAGGAATGACTGTTTTTACAGTGTAGCATGTGGACAGAGAAGGCCAGTAAGGGTGTGGAGGAGGAGCTGAGACCTGAAGAAGGACAGATCATCAAAGGTAATTCTTTGTAGTTTTCCTGTGTAAATGGGCACTTATTCCACCCACCCCCTTTCCCACCACTTTGGAAATACCCTTCCTTCTTAATGACTCTTTTTCCTATGGGGACGTGGGAGCCAAGTACACAAGCAGAGTGTGAATGGCTTCATTTTATCCACATGATGTCTTCCATTGTCCTGTGGGACTTTTGTTTTATGTAAGACTCATTGTCTTCCATGACCTGTAGGACTTTTATTTTTTATATTTTTATGCTCCCTTTAAATGAATCATTAGGAATACACTTTGTGTATTGGACCCTATTCCATTTTTTTTCTCTTCTAGCTCAGCTCACTTTTTCTCCAAGATCTATTGAGAAAAGGAAAAAGAACCATGTGATCAGAATGATCAATGATTTGCAAATATCATTAATGTATGATAATTAGATAGATGCAAAACACTTAAACCTTGAAGTTTGCAATCTGAGTAATGAGCTCACCCCTTTACATTTGTGTGTAATGCTGGGACTGGGAAAAGAGAAATGCAATATCTGAAGAGAGTATGTGTAAAGTTGATTTCTGTCCTCACTCATGAATGTATGTTTTTAATGTTCTAAGTATGTGTAGCAATTTTTAAGTTGTTATTTCCACTATTTATATTAGAAAATTATATACTTTATTAACCATCATTTTTACTAACACCGATACTTACTGTCTTATAATAAATTTCACTTTTAATAGAGATGAAAGATTTAACATAAAATGTCTTTATTATTCTAATGTTTTCTTGCTTAAGAAATAACAGTGAAAATGTCTTTGTGTTTGGAAATGGGCAGTCTTGACTGGTAATCTGTCCCACAATAGAATAGAAGCAATAACTTTTAGGAAATAATTTTTAGTGTCTGAATTAGCTTGTAATGGCTTTTCCTTGCCCTAAGATGGCAACAGTAGTTAATTTATAATACTTTTTATAAGTGTCCTTGTTGCTTATAATACATATTTCAAATAACCAAGTTAAAACGTAGTCCTAAAGCAACTTCTTGTTGTGTTTGCAGAATAATGAAAAGTCTTTACATACAGAATATTTGAAGTTATTCTGTAGAAATGGAATTGTTTATTGAAGTGATAGATTAGTGGATTTGCTATGTGTTGAAAAAAGGCATTTGTTAGGCAATCTCTAAGTAACATTTAAGTAATAAATATAAGTAGGAAAACATTTCTGTATTTAAGTAGCAGTACACAAGTTTTACCTTGATTACACGAATACTAGCCAATTTTAAAGGCTCATTTTTGCTATATGTTTTAGACTGTATCTTGGAGACCCAAAGCATATTGATTACATTATAAAGATTACAGAATACACTTTAAAAAATTATACCCAAGAAGATAATCCCTACTTTATGGAGAAATTTTCTTACATTTCTAAACAACTGGCTTACAGTCAGACTTCAAACACTTTTCATATAGAAACACTATTACAAATCAGTGATTGAGTTCCCAGACCAGCCTTCTAGAGCAGGCTAAACCCTCATTCAGCCGACTTGTGCTACTCAAGACACTTGCCTTAGTTTGGAGCCTTGAGATCCAGGATATTTGGATATCCAAATATGGATATCCAAGTATGCATAATTTAGAGGTAGACACAAACAAGTTTCCATTTCTTTATCTGAGAACAAGGTCTCTGTTGCCTTTTCACTTTCAGTTTATCTCCTTTTACTTTCTAAGGAATCCTAATGGTGCAGTGGCTTAAGGGATCAGGTGCTAATCTACTAACCACAAGGTTAGCCGTTCAAAACCACCAGCCCCTCCTTGGGAGTGAGAGGTGATAGCCTACTTCTACAAAGATTTACAGCTTTGAGAACCCTATGGGTCAAATATGCTTTGTCCTATAGGGTTGCTATAGGTTGTATCAACTCTATAGCAGTGGACTTGGGTTGGCTCAATTTCTAAGGAGTCTTTTGCTATTGCAAACATTTAGCAATGTAGCTATTAAGAGACTAAAAGTTATGATTGATACAGCAACACTTCAGAAAAAAAGTCCTGGCAGTCTACTTCCAGAATATTAATCATTGAAAACCCTGTGGAACTGTTTTTTTTTCTGATATACATGAGCTCACAGTGACTCAGAGCCAAGTCTATGGCAAAAGGCCCACCTTACTATTTTATGTGCCCATGGGGTCTAGATACACTCCTATGAGTTCTGCTGTCTTGCTTTCCTAATGGAGGCTGGCCTTACTGACTGAGGGTCTTCATATTCTAAATTAACAGCTTTTCTACTCCTGCCAATCAGTTTTTCTTAGTATAATTGTTATCAACTGGCATTAAGAAGAAAATCTGATCATGCTCCTTCCTGGGAACGAAAGAATGACTTGTGATCATTCTAAAATGTGTCTGAAACTCTTTATTGATCACCTACAGTGTACAATTAATATAGAGTGTCACAGTTGTACATTTTTAAGAATACTTCAACTCAAAAGACTCATTCATAGAGAATGGCAATATTTCAAAGTGAAGTGAAAACATTCCATTAGTTTATGGAAAGATATTAATACCTTGGGATCACATTTCATCTCTTCCTAATAAGTTCTAACTAGTCCTGCTTTTTCACAGTTGTTTTTTCTCTTCCATTTATGAGCTTATAAACCTTCTTTCAGTCTCAGAACACCTTTACCTCTGAGAGACCTCCCTGGTGAAGACTTCTGTAGGCCAACATTTCCATTATGCTAATCACTTTCATTATGCTTTTGGAAAATGCTCAGGAGATGGTATAAAAAAGTGCCTTTCAAAGATTGCAAAATTCCTATTTTGTACCACAACACAACCAAAATATTTATAAGGATGGTCACATTTTATGAGCATTGCCATTAGTTCACAACAGGGAAATATAGTTAAATAAATCCTAGTGTATGTAACTCATAGCTCATGAATAATATTCTCTATTTTGCTCATAATGTATATATGCACACATGTGTACATACATATAATTTCTAATGGTCATGCTATTGGAGTATAGCAGTGATAACATATAACTTGAAACATGATCTGAAAGACACCCAAGGTTTCTTTATTCAGCCAATATCCTGGCATATGAATGTCCAACCCTGTAGTTCCAAATCAGCCCTCATAGAGCCTGTTAAAAACTTGAGATACATACAGTCAGCCTGTTGTGTCAGCTGGTTGTGCATTCACTCAATCTCATATCGAAAACACTAGGTTGGAGGGAGAGGAAATGATTAAGTAAGTGGTCAAAGCAATCCCTCAAAGGCAAGAAGCAATGGAGAGTGTACTTACATTGTATTAAGTATTGTGAGTAAGTTAGAGAGAATTTTATGTATAAAGGAGGATGTGTGTGATAAGCAAATGCTATGCCATTTTATAGAAGACACTTGAGCATTACTAGATTTTGCTATTTTGGGGAATCCTGGATCCAATCCCCTACAGATACTTAGTACTTGTTGTACAATAGTTTGTAGTAACAAGCAGCTATGACTTTGCAAAATACATGAAAACATTCTCATTACTAGTGAGTGTATTATGTTAAAAAATATGTT